AGTCCAATTTTTAGATCTGCAAACTTCTTTTAATTTACCTTATCTGATCAATTTTCTAGCTGGAAAAGGAATATAGTATGTAATGAAGATCTCTACTCTGCATTCCTTTTCAGTTTTTTCATCAATTTTGGTCTTTGTGGAGTTGCTCTGCTTTTGAAAATGGATTTCTGGAGTTCCTGTCGGTTTATAACAATCGATATCACATTGAATGACTTAGTCTTATTCAGTGACCAGTTCAAAATAGCAATTTCTTCAACTTTAGCTTGACTAACTTCTTGATATTTTGACGGAGCAACATTCAGTAATTCTGTCACATTAGCATCATTGTGTTCATCCTTGCACAATTGTTAACCAGGTGAAATCTTCCACTATCATTTTTAATCACTACCAAGTCCTACTATCTAGCATAGTGATTTGGAGTACGTTCAGGGGTTTTGCATTCATCAACATGTGCCTATTCAGAGTTACAACTTGTTTGACTGAATTACTATAATTTTCCTCGGCCATGAATTGAATTTATACAATAATGATCTCCCCATTCTTAAATAGGTTCTTTAGTATGACCTCATGACAAAGAGATGTGCTGCTTCCGGAAGACCGACACATTTTTTTTACTTTCTTTGATGCTGCAGTCTTTTGAATAACCATTTGTAAATATTTATTTATTTCAAACATACAAATGGAGATTCAGTTCATGCATTTTATCTTTTGTTTCTCTCTGCTGAATAAATACAGATAAAGGATTTCTTTACTTATATAATTGTTCTAGCCATCCATACACTATCAATTATTCTGCCCAGGCTTTCTTGTTTGACGTCAACTACTTTTCTTAAACTAAGTAACCTTATTTCAATTTTTTGTTTTCTGCAACATGAAAACTTCTTTGGCTTTCCAAGTAATCAATTCTCATGTTTGAGTTGCCTAATTGATCCATAGCTCGATGAAGAATATAGGGTTCCTGAATCTTGTAGAATTTAGTGGGAAAGTTGTATGGGATGATAAGCTCATGCTTTGACATCCTTGGGGCTAATAGCTATTACAGTTCGAACCTTTTTACTCAAATTATGTGATTTTTTAGGCCATTTTCCTGTGCCGGCTAATATATTTTTATTGTTGTCATCATCATCATTTTTGAATTTCTTCTTTTTCCTTTGTTTGGGTGGGGTTGGGGAGTAGAGCAACTGATCAGAGAGGTCTCCTATTAACCTTATTATCCTCCATGAACAGATAACAGCTAGAACATCAGCATCATGATAAATAAATAAATTTCACTCACATCGTCGTCATGCAGTAAACTCACATTTTGTATCATTTCATCCTTTGTTAAGTTAAAGGCATACAAATGACTGCATCC